CCTTTTCCTCAGGCTCTTCTCTATTTTTGTCCCTGAAGTTCTTTCAGACAGAAACAATTCTGGGTCAGAGTTTTTGACTGTGGAATGGCAATCCCATCCCTCGGTCGAAGTAATAACAGGATTTGGGAGGGAGAGAGGAACCTGCGTGGAAAGGGGACAGGGAGGGGAACAAGGAAACATGATCAGTTATTGGGTATGGGGGAACAGGACTGAAGTCCTGAGGGCCAGCAGAAAGAATGGAAACAGGCAACCTCGGAAGGTAAGAAGTGGGGAATCCTCCAGGATGTACCAGAGACCTGGGAGATGGGAAACTCTCAGGACTCAAGGGAGGAACATTAGATGAAATGCCCAACAGTGCGGAGAAGAAACTTTAGATCCCACCTCCAGTAGAAAGACAGTGAATGCTTGTTTTAGTTCCAGATTTTTTCATATTGTATATTTTAAGTCATGGTCTAACGTTTTAAACAAGTTCTTACTCTGTAGCCTTGACTATCTTGGAACATACTATGTAAACCAATCTGAATCAGACTCCCAGATATCTGCTTGCTTCTGCCTCCCAAGTGCTGGGATTAAAAGCATGTACTATCATATCTGGCCCAAGGCATCAGCCATTTTGAAAACATTTAAAACCATTTTGTAGGCAAAATAAAATATATGAAGCCAATGTTAGGTTTCATGATACCTATCTTAGAATATTTGTCTCTGAAAACAAATGTTTTAAGTAAAGTATTGTAATACAGACAACAGTTTGTTTAGTATGCAGAATTTAGGTACATACTGATTAAAGTAAATAATATCATAGGCAGTTGATTTAACCCTAGGCACATGACCAATATAACAACAGGATATTGGTGTCTATGATGGTCCCAGGTGTGGGTGTTGTCTTGAGAAGAGGGACTCACAGCCAATCAAAAGATTTTCAAGTCTCTTGACATCCATGCATCAGTTACATCAATGGATGTATCTTGCCAGGGCAGTCATCATTGCAGATCAGTGTTTACAGCTGGATCTGAATGATGATTCCTTTTTCTCCCCTGAAAGTGTGATTAGCACAATCCAGCACTATGAAAACTAGACAGCAGCAGTGAAGCCATGATCTATGACTCAAATTTGTGATAGTTTCAACAATAGAGTCTTACCATAAGTTCTGGAGAGTCATTCTGAGCAATGGCAAAAGCCAACAATATTTGGGGATCTATGGGACCTCACTGGCCAAAAACTCCAGTAGAGGTTACCAATTGATAGCCTTGGTCTTACTGTCTGTGACTCTGTGGTGTCTAGTTGTAACATGTTGCCCTATTTTAGAGTAATTCTAGTTTGACTCATTTTGTATATGTATGGGCTTTATAGTTTAGGACATTTCTGCATAGACATTTTTAATATGGCTGTTTCAGAATAGTAATCAGTGTTATTTATTCCTCTCTACTTTCTCTCCTGCACTCTGCCCTCCCATCTCCAATTCCATTTCCTGTTCATTATCTACCATTACCACTTTACACCCCTGTGTTCTATCTTTCTTCCATTGAATCTTGCCATTATGGCCTTTTACTAGTTTCCTAACTTCTGTGGATATTCCAGATGAAACACATGTATCTACATATTCAAAGATAACATCCATATATAAGAGAAAGCATATTTTTATTTCTGAATTGAGGTTTCCTAACTCAGAATAAGTCCTTCTAGCTCTATCCATTGAGCTGTGAATTTAATGATTTTGTTTTGCATAATAGCTTAATAATATTCTATTTTGTAAATGTACCAAAAATTTTTCATCTTCTCATTTATTCATAGGCATCTAAGCTATTTTAAACAGAGCAACATTGAATATGCAGGAGGGAGTGCCTCCACAGCAGGACAGAGAGCCTTTTGGGTATATGCTGAGGAATGGTATAGCTGCATCATGTGATAGATCTATTTCTACTTTTTATGGAACTACTGAACTGATTTCCCCAGTTGTTGCATTAATTTATAATCCTACTAGTTATGAACAAGTGTTCTCTTTTCTTTGCATCCACACCAGCATTTTCACCTTAACATCACTATACGTCTAAATTAGAGCATCTCTCAAACCTCACCAGAGAAGCTTCCTTTTTAGAGTAAATGTAGATTAACACAGTCCCACACCAGGTCAAGGTGCAAACAATAATAGACCATGGAATGCTCATTCCTGCATAGGACATCTGTTTCACACTACTTAAAGGCTTCAGAAATATAATGGAAGAGCTGGCAGGGAGAGCCAGGAGCAGTGGATGACCACAACAAAACAGTAATTTCTGGCCACAACTGAGAAATTGCATATAGGAATGCATATGTAGCAATAGATGCAACACTTGCGCAAGTTCAAATTAGACATAATCTTAACATGAGGCCAAAGTTGGCAAGTAGCTATTGGTAATTGATTACTGGTAGGAGAAGAGAATTAGTTTTTATAAGTTGTAGTCTCAACAGGTCAAATGCTTCCTGTGAATGATCACACAATCTCCAAAGAATCACATACAGACATGTATATGCACACAAATATATATATATATATATATATATATATATATATATATATATATATA